CCGAAAATAAGCTGCCTTCTTAAGGACATATGAACCCTAAACCCTACAAACCCTACAAACCCCAAACCCCTAAACCCTAAACCCTAAACCCTAAACCCCTAAACCCTAAACCCTACAAACCCCAAACCCCTAAACCCTACAAACCCTACAAACCCTACAAACCCCTAAACCCTACAAACCCTACAAACCCTACAAACCCTACAAACCCTACAAACCCTACAAACCCTACAAACCCCTAAACCCGAAACCCTAAACCCCTAAAAGGCTCAGCGTTTGTCTACCGGCCAGCCCGATCGCCTGTCAGACAGCATGTGTGTCTGCTTGTGCATCCTAAACCCTAAACCCTAAACCCTATATCCATCTGCATGTGGGCGACAAGTGCATGCGCATCTGCGCAGTGCTAGGAACACAGAGCCAAACCTGAAAACCCCAACACCCAAAACAACTCAACCTCCAAATCGGAGAACCGAGCTAGCTAGACAAAGAGACAAGCCATTCTTCGCCCCTGACATCTTACACTGGTCTAAACTCAAAACTGATGAACCCCCAAACGCCTAAACCCCCAAACCCCTGAAACACTAAACTGCAAACCGTGAACCCCCAAACCCCTGAACCGGAAGCGCTATACTTTAAACCCTAACCTTCAAACCCTATTGATTCCTTATGGAACCCCTTTTGATCTCTTTAAAGGAACCCTATAGGCCGCTAAACCCCTGAACCGCAAACCCTAAACTTTAAACCCGTATACACCCCTATAGTACCCCTTATACATCCCTTATACAAAGCCTTTTTGTTCCTTTAAAGGAGCCCTTATAGATCCCTTTAGAGGAACCCTTTATCAAGTTCTTTTAAGGGAACCCCCTGAACCCTAAACCATAAACCCACTTAAACCCTGAACCCCAAACCCTAAACCAAAAAGGGAACCCACTCTCCGGCCTCAAAGTGCAGCCGAGTGAGGAGTGGCAGCAGTGGCCAACCAGAGAGCAAGAGTTGTACCAAGAACAAGACGAGAGGTCTCCCCACTTTCAGCACGTACCTTAGGGTTTTTTTGAGTTTCTAGGTTCCCCAGTAGCCCTTAACAATAAGGGTACCCTTTTTCCTGCTGTTTGGTTTTATGAAGGGAGCCCAAAAAGAAAAAGGGCAAAAAAGATATTGCTGGGAATCTAGGTTTAAAACTTTAGGAATAGGGTTTAGAGCTTCGGGCTAGGATGGTTAGGTCTTCCAACTTTCAGCACGTGCCTTGGGGCTCAGAGGTTCAGGGTTTAGGATGTTGGGTTTTAGGGTTTCGGGGTTAGGTTTTCAAAGTTGGAGCACGTAGTCTACAGTGTGAGGTTTTTAGAGTTTAACACTTTAGAGTTTAGCATCTAGGGGTTGATCATAGGGTTGAGAGCTTCGGGCTAGGATGGGTAGGTCTTCCAACTTGGAGCACGTCCCTGAGGCTGTCGGAGTTCAGGGCTATTAGGGTTTAGGGGTTTCTGGGTCTCCCTGAACCCTAAACCCTAAACCCTGAACCCTAAACCCTAAAGCTTGAACCCTAAACCCTAAACGATTCACCGTGATCCAGGACACCTCTTCGCCGTGATGTAGAGCTGGCGCTGAAGCTGCCGGCTCTGTTCATCTCTGCCTCTCCGGTAGTTGGACCCCTCATGTGTTTAGGGTTTCGGGTAGAGTTTAGGGTTTAGGGTATAGGGTTTGGAGACGTATACCCTACAAGAGTCCAGTAGTATGTTCGCCACAAGAGCTAGAGGGTTCCCAGTAGGCGTCTATAAGGGCTGAATAGCATGTGTAAGCATTGAAAGGGTTCAAGACCCCTCCACCCTGAAGTGCACCCTCAGACCCTAAACCATAAACTGTAAACCCGTAAACCGTTAATCCCTGAACCGGAAATCCTAAACCCTAAACCCTCATGGACGATTCAGGAAAGGCAAAAACTATCCACACAGGTTGCGTCAGAAGGCGGGGCTCACCAAACCCTAGAAGTAAGTGTCAAAGGTGCCTCATATTCTCCGAAGCACAGGTAGGTGTCGGAAGTTGGGTGGTGGCGCTACAGTTAGCTGCTTCTTCTTACAAGACTCATCAGAAAGGGCTTGAGCTCTTCCAGAACCCAGGACCATGAGAACACAAAGGAGCCCCTCTAGGGTTTAGGGTTTAGGCCTCGCAAAAGGGTCACATTTAGAATGATTTTACATGGATGTGTGTTGCCACGGGAAGGATTTTATGAGGTTGCACTAGCGATCACAGACATAAGTATCGGACTTGAACAGTCCTACTCCTCTTAATACAAATGCCTGGTTCAACAACCCAAGGACGAGTTGCAAAACACATTATAGGATCAAACACTGCGTCGTTATTCGGGTTCTTTGTATGAACCCCGAAAATAGGATCAGGGTTTCTTAACCAGGTTCCTACATTAGCCTAAACCAACGCGCACTTGCACAATACCGTCTTGGGGTTTACGGTTTCAATGCTGTCTGGAACCCCTGCGACCCCTCACTGGGCTGGCAGTTAGCCTTTACATTAGGGTTTGCGCTCTCTTGATTTAGGGTTTCCGTGATTCCGAAGTCTTTCCGTGGCACCGACCGTGAATCGCATGCTTGACTGCGACGCGTTTGGCAGGCTTGTACCCAGTCGGGTCGTTGTCCTCGACGATGACGAAGCTGCGCTTGCTGGGAGGGGCTTTCGCCAAGTCGCGGGCGAGGGCGCGATAGAAGCTTGCGGCAGCTGGCAAAACCGAGTCCGCCCACAGAGAACCATCTCGAAGCATCTTATGAAAGCTTCCATACATGAATCCTTGCATCGATCGAGCTTTGTAAGACTCATTCCAGAACTCTTCTACTAGCTATCCGCTATCCACTAAGTATACTAAAACCTAAACATTCTAAACATCCTGAAAACATCTGGAGATCCCTTATAAGACTACAACTGAGTGTACAGGCTTACGGGTTTCGGGTTTAGGGTGTGGTTTTCCAGGGTGTTTCGGGTTTAGGATTTAATTCTAAGGTCAATACAGGATGAAGCACGTAAGATAGCCATGAAAATCAAGGTAACCATAACCCTAAACCCTCATTACCCTTTAAGTGCTGACACTGGGGTCGGAAGTCTGCCACAAGAGCACCTGTTTTGCGCGATTTGGGTTTAGGGTTTAGGGTTTAGGGTTTAGGGTTTAGGGTTTAGGGTTTAGGAAATTGTTTAAAAATATCGGAAGAACACTGGCAACACACTACACTGCGAAAAAAACAGCCAGGGAGGGCAATGTAGGGGCCTTAATAATTGGAACAGGGTTTTGGGTTCCATTACACTAAAAATATAATAATAACCCCCAAACCGTTTAGCCCCAGACTTCCCGAAAACAGCTTAGGGTTCGGGGTTTAGGGTTTAGGGTGGCGTCAGCAGATATATCCCAAAGCCCCGCAAGTCTTCGTCCACTGTTTTCGGGTCCTGCTGCTTCAATCAAGTCGGCTTACGTCTTAGTTTAGGGTGCAGGCTAGTGGTCGGAGTGACAGCAACAAGAAGCCCGCACCCTACAACCCTAAACCCCCCTACACCCTAAACCCTCAACCTTAAACCAAAACCACCCACGGTATAGGGCTTAGGGCTCAAACACTAATCCCTTATAAGCACTAAATCCCAAAATCTTGGGCGCCTTCATTCCAAAACCGCCCTAAGCTCTAATCCCTAAACCCGAATCCCTCAAAACTAAGCCACCAAAATCTTGGAAGCCTTCATTCTAAACCCTAATCCCTAAGCCCTAAACCCTAATCCCTAAACGCTAAACCCCAAAATCTTAGGAGCCTTCGTTCGAGAGGCGGCCAGTGCCAGCGGCGATGGCAGCCACCACTGAGGAGGCTCGGCCAGCCAAGCAACCCTGGTCTGGAGCTAAAAGGTTTAGGGGTTTAGGGTTTAGGGTTTAGTGTTTAGGGTTTAGGGGTTCCTTTAAGGGTTCCTTTAAGGGATCTATAAGTGCACTATAAGGGTTAAGGGTTTAGGGTTTCGGATTTAAGGGATCTATAAGTGCACTATAAGGGTTAAGGGTTTAGGGTTTCGGATTTAGTGTCTAGGTCTGGAGCTAAAGGGTTATCCTTTCCTTAAAGGGTTCCTTTTAAGGGTTCCTTTAAGGGTTCCTTTAAGGGTTCATGGTTTAGGGCTTAGGGTTCAGGGTTTAGGGTTTAGGGCTAACGGGTTATCCTTTCAAGGAGCCCTAAGGGCTCCTATAAGGGATCTATAAGTGTACGATGAATTCTATAACGTTGGGTTTAGGGTGTAGGTCTGGAGTTAAAGGGATCTTTCAGGGGATCTACATGGTTTTATATGGTTTCAATCAGGGATCTATAGGGTTTAGGGTTTAGGGCTTAGGGTGTAGGCTAGGGGCTTAGGGTTCGGGGTTTCGGGGATCAGGGGTACTGGGTTACTTCTGGGCGTCTTGTAAGGGTGACCCGGACGGGACCTATGAGGATCTGTAAGACTTGAGGGATGTTAACAGTTTAGGGTAGGGATTAGGGCTTTGAGTCTGGGGTTTAGGGTTTTAGGGTTTCGGGTTGAAAGTTAGGGTTTAGCCCCAGGAGGGAAGGCTCAGGTGAGTTAAAAGGACTTGGCCAACAGGCCAAGCATGAAGCACCAATCGACCCTAAACCCCTAACCCCTAAACCCCTAAACCCTAAATCCCTAAACCCCAAACCCTAAACCCAAATCCCTAAAGGCCCTAAACCCTAAACCCTCAATCGTTGACGCCGAGCTCCAGCTCCGAGCAAACCATGCCTTCGTCCATCCTGGAATCGAGCTCAACCAGGATGTGGCCCTCAAGCCATTCCTTTTTGGAAGCTTACTGCTGCCGCCGCCGCTTCGAAGACGGGTCGCACGAGTCCACACTTGAGTGTCCTAACTCGGCATGTACAATGCATATACAAAGGTGCAAGCGGCACGTGTACCAGTAACTCCCCCCTTTAGGAAGTCATGGCGGGCTGTGCTATCGGACTATCTACTTGGTGAGGTTTCGGCCCGAGCAGCGGCATCTTGGGTCTCCTGGGCAAGCAGATTCCGCAACTGCAACTGTGATTCCTCCTCGCAGAACCGCATTTTCGGAAGCGGCCGAGGGACCAATTGCATCCCTGTCTGGACCTCGTACACCGCAATGCCAGCAGACCAAATATCCGACAACAGGACTCGGGCTAAGGGACTTCGATTCTCACAGATATCCGCATTTAGCTGGTTTAGGATTTAGGGTTTAAGGTTTAGGGCTTAGGTGTAACTTGGAAGTTCATGGGTAGTTATACATGGGGTTATAAGTCCCGTAATGTGGGTGATAAGATGCTATAAGCTGAATTTATGTTACCCGCTTAGAATTACCCCTAACCCTAAACCCTGAACCCCCAAGTACTCGGGGCGCAGTGTTTAATCGGGTTGGCTTTGGGTTCGGGGTTTTGACTACAGGGGGTCTAGACTTCACTAGACCCTAAACCAATAAACCCTTAGTCCTTATCCGTTTGCGGGGAGTCAGATCCACGGGGTTTAGATCAACAAGGCTTATATGTAAAGGGCCCAAAACCTTATTTCTGTTAGTGTCCGGCAAACTTTGGCTTTATTTGCTTTATTTTGTATTTATTTGTTTTGTTTGTTATTTATTTGGTTTATTCTGTCTTTATTTGCTGTATTTTAGCTTTATTTATGTTTTACATGATTAATGTTAGGTTGTTGAAA